AAATATCAGTTTTATGATATACCTATGACTGTATATTAGTTTCCTCCAACCTGGTATTTAACTACACTTAACTACAAAGTCCAGTAGCCATACTGATTGTAAAATTCCAGAGGCTGTAATTGTTATCTGGTATGAACTGAAATTCAGAGCATTTAAAATAAAATGCCTTGACTATTTTTAATGAAGTATAAACCCTTACAAGGTATAAAAATCATGGTGTTCAATATATGTTCTTGAAGAATAGAGGTTTGTGTTTTTTTGCAATTGGAAGTATTGCATCATTGTCAGTTTTGAGCAATCATCATATTCTGGGTTATATCATCATATCCTTTTGGGTTATAAAAATCTGCAGGAGGCCAGTCCCCAACAAGGTTGGCATAGAAGCACATAAAATAGTCTTCTCATAAGATGGCTGCTTTGGGAACTCTTGAAGGTATTTCACTCATTCAAGAGTTTTCTATTGTGATAACTTTGCAAGTAGTCTGCCATCCTCAGCTTTCACCATTGAGTTCAAGTCTCATTATAAATTGTCTCTTTATGTTTCTAAAATGCTGGGTTCCCAAGCTTAGCTCATTAATGAGACAGGAATGCATTTTATAATAGCTGGTTTGTTACACGAGAACCACACCGAATAAAAAGAATGTTGCAATTTAATTCATTGGTGCTGGAAACACATTTACAAATTTACACTTGACCAAGCCTGCTAAAGAGAATGCGATAAAGATTGATTCCAACTTTCTCCTGAATTCAATTACTTTTGTTCCTCTGTTTCATCCATTCTCTTCCTTTTCAAAGCTTGTTTTCTTTTGAGAAATTATATAAAAATTACATTTTTAATTTAAAAAATTGAGCTTTAGTTCAGTGAAGTATATTACTCCCACTCCCCTCCCTTAAAAAAAGACTTTTACTGAAGTTTTTCACAGCTGAACTGAATTAACTATTGTTTATTCCCTTGGAAGAAGTGTTAAATCTCTTTATTACTTAATAAATTAAAAGCAAGATTATTCCAAGATTGGCATACAAGTAGTTTTTTGTTTAAGACCATAATAGGTTGGGAATCACATCAGTCTGCCAATGCAGATCCCATAATACAATACTTTAGGTGCTTCATGATCTAAAAAATTAGATTTAAAATATCTTCTGATTAAAACAGTGTTCCTTAACCTCAACAACTTTTAAGTATATGCATGAATGGGCTGGGTGAATCTGAGAGCTGAAGTTCACCAATTTTAAACTTGTTGAGAAATGCCATGTTAGAATGTTAGAAACTGATACTTGATTTTTTTGCTTCAGCAAAAAAATAATAATGATCCATTGCATCAATTGCACTGCCATGAAATAGAATGAGACTGCTTTTCCAGTTGTACTAAATTTTAAGCTATGGTTTATAAGGTGGTTTGCCCCTGATCTCATAAAATGGGAGACATAGTCTAATAGTTTTTATGAAAAATTTTAAAAGAGCCTTTAAATTCGTCATCATCATCATCATAATCTTCATCATGATTTTAGCCATCTATCCACTGCAGGATGAAGGCCTTTTCTGCATGTTTCCAATCTATGCGGTCCTGAGCTTTTTTTTTTTTTTTTTTTTTGCCAATTGAGCCCACAATACTTTCTAATGTCATTGATCCATCTTGTTTTAAGTCTCATTCATGGACACTATTTATCAAGTGGTATCCATTCTATGACTGGTCTGAGTTATATTACTTATTATATTCATATTTTAAGTATTAAAATGTGAACTAGGAACCCTTTTCATTAGAAAATAGTTTGTGTCTCTTGATTTACTTTATTAAAAATACATTATACTGCATCCAATTAAAAAACAAACCTATTCATTAAGATTTTCATGCCTGCAAATAAAACACTTAAATAAATAATCAGGTCCAGAAACTTCTAGTTGACACAGATATGGTACAGAATTTATCTACAATTGTAGAGATTTCCTGATCTTGATGATTTAATAGGTTTAATAATCTTGATGATTATTATGTGAGACCAGTCTGAATAGTTCATAATTAGAGGATAGGTTAATTCTGCTCCACAGAGTTGATACAAGTAAATGGGGCATTTCAGAAGCATGTGTGCTACTATCAAAATCTGAGCAAATAAATGGACATTTCCATGTAAATATTAACCTTTACTTGTTTTCAAACCAACATTTCAATGAGGTGTTACAGCCTGATCTTTGTTTCTTCCATTCTTCTAACCAAATGGTTCTATATTCAATCAGATTAATTATTGACCTTTTGGTACTTAATTGCTATCAATCTAATTAGTATATATCCCAACATTTATCACCTATAATGCAAAATAAATATATAAAATTCTGCAACTCCACTTTGATGCATTGGGAGTTCCACCTTGATGTGGACTGTCTCAAGGATTTGACTTGAAAACTGAATTGTATATGAGCATAGTTAAGTTGTTTAAACTATCCATTTCAGTCATGAGAAAGTTCTTTGAATTGCTAGACTGCATTGGGGTAGATCTAGTGATTTAAAAGGGAATGGTTGAAACTTTCTTGAGTCAAATCTCTTCGAAGCTCTGTCATCCTATTTTAAAGCTGTTATTTTTCTTATGAGAAATTCCATTCCATTTTCCACTCAGGACAAAATTAAAAGCAAGGAAAAACAGAGCATTATTAATAGATGCTTTTGGCCAAAGGCAAAGGCCCCTTATGGACTTTTTCCATAAGAACAAAAAAAAAAAAAAGAAAAAAAAAAGAAAAAAAAGAACTTGTGATTTATGGTTTTAATGATTAGACAAGATAGAAAATAGAAAGAAGAGAATCTTGATGTAACTTCAGAGAGAGGTTAAAATATAATTGTACTTAAAATTGCTGTGAAGAATAACAGAAGCCACTTCTTTATATCTTTCTTTTATATCTTTCTACCGGTACTTTTTCTACTTTTTTCTTACTGCACTTGTAGTAGCTTTTTCTTTTATTTCTCTCTGTTCTATTTGAATCTATAAGTTCTTGTTACTGCTGTTAAAAGTTTCAGCAGAATATATATTTTTAAAAAAGAAATACTGAAAAAATATTTCAGTAACTATTCTGGTTTTATAAACTATAGACATATCACATATTCAGTACATTTCTGGATATTATAAAAAATATTTTTTTACCAACTGCAACCTCTGATATAATGTACTGCTTAAATGATTCAGTTCATTTGGTTTTATGTTCTCACACTGATAATTTCCAGTAGATATTTCAAACTTCTGAAACATGCTAATGTAGCAAAAAATACTAACATAGGTATAATAACTCATAAGTTTAGTGCTCAATCTCCATATATGTGAACTATCAAACTTACTAAATCATCAAGATATGTGTATATATAAACACACACACACATACATACAGTGGTGGGTTGCTCCCGGTTTTGTCCGGTTCTTGCGAACCGGTAGTAAAAGCAGCAGGAGGCTCTGCCCACCCACCCGGATGTCATAATTGACGATCTGCGCATGCACAGAAGATTCTGTGCATGCGCAGAAGTGTGTGCGCTCCCATTGTGAACCGGCAATAAATGTAAGTAGAACCACCCCTGATACATACACACGTCTACGTATATACATACATACTGTCTCTGCATGCTCCAGTGGCTGATCAAATTAAACCCAATGTGTAAAATACAAACATAGTGAAATAGTGGATAATGCAATAATTTGTATATCAGGCATGCTAATAATAAGTTGTAGTGTTTTGCAAAACTAAACTTAGTTTTCCCAACAAAAATGGCCTTCCACTGCTCTCATATTGAGAAGGTTATAAATGCTTTTAGATATTTCAATACTCTAAAATGGTTAGAAAATGGCCACCTTTACCGATACAACCCATGTATGAATTTATACATGTGGAATAATAAATGTATAGATTACACATTTAAATTGACTATAATTTGGAAGAATCTTAATCTGCAATCAGAACTGCCACAGATTTTGTCAGTGTATATATGGTACATCTCTCAAAATAAATGTCTGTTGGATCAAGGTAAGGCTGTAGAAATCTAGATGACTATTATCTGCAAACAGATACAGAACACTCTTTGCCCCCATCGAGTGAACATACGGATTTTTGCATTTCACATTTGGTGAAGAATGTGGTTAGAATGTAGGACTGCAGGCTACTTCTGCTGACAGTTGGCGGACTGCAATTTGGCAGTTTGAATCTCACCAAGCTCAAGGTTGACTCATCCAATCTTCCATCCTTCCGAGATTGGTAAAATGAGGACCCAGATTGTTGGGGGAAATATGCTGACTCTGTAAACTGCTGTATATAAGTAGTATACAAATCTGAGGGATTTGTACTGAGAGGGTATCAACAGATCCTTTTTTTTTTTTTTTGTCAAACTCTGTTTTAGCATTCAAATGAAATATGCATTAGAAAAAAATCCTACATATATCCTTTTTCCTGGTTGCTAATTTCAGCATCTTCTCTGGCTGGAAAATTGTACAGACAAAAATAGATCTAAGTTTATTTTGAGAAAAAACTTCAATGCTGCAAAAAAACTAAAGCATAGTATATTTTGAAGCATTGACCTTTTGTTTCCATGGGAAACTGTGAAGTCCTGTGCTGCCCCATAGTGACTGCATGGCAGAAGAATGGCAGATACCAGAATAAGATGTCATTCCAGAATCCTAAGATCGGATTCAGGGCTCAATGCTTTGTAAGAACATAAACAAGTAGGATTTATCCTTTCACTGTCATATATAAGCTGACATTCATGCATATATATGTCTGTACAGATGCCCAAATGAAATATATTTTCAAAGTTCTGGCATGCATGAAGAAAACTGATAGACTGCTTTTGTTAAGTTACTCTTAGTAGTTTTCATTTTCATTTTTTGCAGAACAATGTGGCCATTCTCTTAAAAAAATGAGATTGTATAAAATGAACATACCCAAATTTTAGGATTACATAATACTTAATAACTGGAAATAGCTGTATCCAGGGAAAAAAATAGAAGGACAAAGCTAAATAGTGTTATCTTACCCGCAAGATTCCATCTTCTGGAAGCCTTGTTTAGTTTTTTCCATAAAGACAATTCCTATGCTTCTCATTCTCTTCTTCATCTGTGGAGTCTAAAGTAGGCATTCACAGTAGCGGTACTAAAAGGGTAACTATTGGTAGTTCTTACCTAACAGAGGTAATGGGACCAAAATTTATATCACTGTGGGACTCAGTCTTAAAACACAATGTTAAGTAGCCATGCTGCTTAATAACGGCAGTTCTAGCATTACCTGTTGTTAAGTGAATTAGAAGCCATTGTTAGGTGGTATGTCACACATACATGATTTGTGACCTCCTTTTGGGTTCCCCATTGATTTTGCTTGTGGGAAACTAGCAGTGAAGGTTGCAAATGAAAATCAATGTGGCTATGGGACACTGCAACATCATAATTGCAAACTGGCTGCCAAGTGCCTATTTCACAATTACTATACATGACTGGAGGGATCCTGCAATGCCTGCAACTACAAGGGCTGGTTCTAAGTACCACTTGTTCAGTGTCATTGTAACTTTAAATGGTTGCTGAACAAATAGTTATTAATTAAGGACTACCTATATAGATGATGCTGATTCAGATGATAACTGTAAGTTAACTCATTTGGTAGAAGTTCAGTTACTTTGGATCATTTTCTCTCATAGTTTCATAGGTGTCTTCCTATTTATACTGCAAACACAATTTCATTTGGAAGATATTCCATTGCTGGATTGTTAAAGCTGCTTAGGCCTTCCAGGGCTTTATTTGAGATTAACTGACATTTTTCACATTAAGTCTTTTTAGTTAATGCACTGCAAAATGGGTCTTTATTGCAGTTTTAATATACTTTCCCCCCTTTTCTGTTGGAAACCAAACTGCTTCATGGTTTAGTTTTGCTTTAGCAAGAGAAAGAACAAATAGAGTCTAAGGCAGTGATGGCAAACCTTTTTGCCATCGTCTGCCAAAAGCAGGGGGAGCGGGGGGGGGTGTCGTGCATGTCTGTGTCCATACCCATAATTCAATGCCACACCCGCGCTCCCCCCGCTTTTGGCACAGGACGGCAAAAAGGTTATCAGTGGGCCCAGCAGGCCTGTTTTTTGCTCTCTCCAGGCTCCAGAGGCTTCTTTGGAGCCTGGGAAGGGTGAAAACAGCCTTCCCCACCTACCCCGGAGGCCCTCCCGAGGCCGGAAACGGCCCATTTCCCCAACTTCCGGTGGGCCTGGAAGGCCCGAAAATCAGCTGGCCAGCGTGCGCATGTGCACTGGAACTGAGCTAGGGCAACGGTCGCGTGCCCACAGATATGGCTCCATGTGCCACCTGTGGCACACGTGCCATAGGTTTGCCATCACGGGTCTAAGGTTTGGCATAATCATTTGTACATTTTTATTGCTTTTCGAACTACAGATAATCCTCAATTTAGGATCACAATTGAGCCCAGAATTTCTGTTTCTAAGCAAGACAGTTAAGCCTCATTTTACTACCTTTCTTGCCACAGTTGTTAAGTGGATCACTGCAGTTGTTAAGTTTATTACATAGTTGTGAAGTGAATCTAGCTTCCCCATTGAGTTTGTTTGTCAGAAAGTTGCAAAAGGTGATTGATTACATGATCCTGGGACAACCGTCATAATACAACCGTCATAAACATGTCAGTTGCCAAGTGTCTCAATTTTGATCATGTGACCCATGGGGATGCAATAATGGTCATAAATGTGAAAAAAATGGTCATTTTTTAAAAAAATTCATTGTAACTTTGAATAGTCACTAAACAAACTGTTGTTAAATGGAGGACTACCTGTATAGACTCTGCTTTATATCTAGATAATTCTCTATCCATTTTTCATCACTGGTCAAAAGTAGGATTGGACAAACTTTTGGTAGCTATAGTTTCTTCTTCCAAGGTAGGTTTTCATCATGTGCTGGAATCGTGAGTTTGCAAGTGTAGTACAAAAAGACTCAATGCCTTATTTTATATTGTCATATATTTCCTTTCTTTAGTAAGGAAGTTAACCACCTCCTTAAAGAATTGTTTTTCCTTCCATAACTTCACATTTTAAGTAAAATTACCTTAAAAACAAATATTTCCCTCTTCTCCAACTCCTATGTCCTGTTTTCAAATATGACTTTTGTCCTATTAGGATTTTCTTCTTTGTATTCGATTTCTAGCAATCTGATAATAAATAAAGTTAAAACTGCCACCTTTTATAGCTTCCAACCCCATTACCCATTATAGACCTTTAATTAACTGATGTTTTTACTCATTTTAAGTTACCCCATGCCTTCCAGCTACTCACAACTTCAACAGTTACAGCATTTCAGCCTTTCAAGGTTGGAAGTTGCTCTATGTCTTTTCCTAGTTAAATTTGCTATAGGCATATTTCCTCAAGTTAACTTGACTGACCAAGTTACTATTCCTCCATATATTCCCTGATTGTACTATTGTTTTATTTCATTGTTTAAAAAGGTTGCCATCAGTTTTTTCACTTAGTTTTAAATTTTCAAAAGGTCAAATACTAAAAATAAATGAATATGATTTTAAAAGCAGGATCTGAAATTGTGTTTTTGTTATAGTATTTTATATTTTTTATCTCCTTAAATAGAAAACTGGTTATATTTTTTTAAAAAATAAAATTATAACCTGAGTTTTTTCTCTGCTTATTTGATCGTAAAGTTAATAATTTCAGTAGGCTTTGTGCATTGAGCTGTTGAAATGTCGCTTCTTCTGGTACTCTATTTTCTATGGGGAAAATTAAGCAATGTTGTTTATGTTAAAATATGTTGTTTGTTTTTATCTTTATTTTATGCATGTGCATTTTAAAACTGAATTACTGATATTGAATATGCATGCAGCTCAGAGCAGTTAATGACAGGGTTATAGCCTACTTCAATCAGTAGATAAACAACTAAGAAGCCGAAGAATGCATAGGAAGCAGTGTGTTTCCTGTAGGCAATTCCAATGTCCTACCAATGTTTCACACTTTTGGTAACCATTTGCATGTTGTATTCCATGCAAGCTAAAATATCCAGAAGTAGTTCAAAATGAATTAATCATATGTTCAAATAATCACATTTACCTTTTTTCATTTTATTAAAGTAGAAGAAGAAGAAGGAGTAAAATATATAAATTTTAAAGCTGGACTAAGCACAATTAAACATATAGTTTTTTGTAAACTGCTTTTACAATGTTTTTCTTTTCTTTTCTTTTCTTACCTGAGGAATGGGAGAGAACAGAGGAAATCATGCTTGCCTTCTGGAAACATCATGTGCTACTGGATAAATAGGAACTTTGCATTAACAAAGTTTTAAATAATAGGGTAATCTTCTATGGAGTTTGATTCAGCAGAGTGATGATAATGTTTTGCAGATTTTGCAGTAAGGAACACCTGTAGGACATTTTATTGATGGAAGCCATAGAAAACGTAAATGGCACTTCAGTCATCTTTTTTTTCTTTTAAAAAAGTCTCTCTTGGAGGAAAACCATAACTGATTAAAGGGTTAGAGGTTTTAATAAGGATATGAAAGCATATGGCAGATGGGATGGATTAGGACTCTTAACAGTACAGTAATCTAATCATTGCTGCCAAGCATTATAAAAAGCTCCACCTCCGGCTGGGTTTTATCCAGAAAGAAAACTGCAAGAATAAAGTGCTGTTGGTATGAAGAGTTAATAAATGCTAGCTCTGAAGTTGTTCCCTAAAAATGACTGTATCTGTAGAACATTTCAAAAAGTCATCTTTCGGTCATATGGTTTCTTTGTTCATAGAACCTTATGATCTAGAACAGCGGTTCTCAACCTGGGGGTCGCGACCCCTTTGGGGGTCGAACGGCCATTTCACAGGGGTCGCCAAATCCCTCTCTCGCACCCCCCACGCCTTCACTCACCCTCACCCTCTGCCTCTGTTGGATCGCCGTTCGCCGTTCACTTACCCCGCCCACTCCCAATCTATTGCTGCCTCCTGAGTCCCAGCTGATGGCTAGAGGGAAACAAACCATTTAAATTCTTGCTGCGGGGCTTCAAAGGGCCGCCCTACAGCTGATCAGTGTTAAAAGAAAACAAATGAGAAGACCGGTGCCTGCAAAAATAGAAAAAAACAGCCCCTTTCAGCTTCAGCATAGGTTAATTACCATAAGTTGATTTGATCAGCCTCCGAGCTCTCAGCTGATTTGCTCTCAGCTGTTTTGCTGAGGGCTCTGTCGCTAGCTGCAAAGAGAGGAGCAGATTTTTCCCCCCCTAGCTATGCTGAAAAAACGAAACTGAAAGTAAAGCAGGGTCTTTGCTACAACGTGACAAAATGAGGCAAAGAGAGGTTTCTTTTTCTTTTTCCTCACCAAAAAAGGTAGGTGCAAAACTGCAAACAATGGGAAATTTAGGGCAAAAGAGGAGATTCAAGATTTTAAAACACAAAAGAAAAAAATCTCTATTTAACTAGGGAATTGTAATAATTGAGATACTATTAATTGTATATTGTGTTGAAAGCAGAAATGGTTAAGTTGTGGTTTGGAGGAATAAATGGGGGAAATTATTTCGTTTATTATTATTGGTAAATATAATTAATTGATTTGTAAGAAATTGGATTGCATGGAAATAATAGGAATATTCATGTTCATATTTATTGATATACAAAAAAGATAGTTATATAACATTGATTTATATTAAAATGTTGAATTTGTATTAAACAACTGTATTACATAATTACATAATTAACCAATGTGAAGATGGATATAAAAATAGATGACAATGGGAAGGGGTATAATATAGAATTGAAGGGAAAAATTTAATTTGATTAAGATTAGAGATGAGGATGAAGGGTAATATTGGTTTTTTACAAAAATAGATGAGGACCTGTCAGAAATCACTTTTTTCAGCCCTCTGAGTAGTCCCTATACACATAGCCATGGCCACCCAGTCACATGACCAGCTAGCCACGCCCACCCAATCACATGACTTCCAAGCCACGCCCACAAAATAAGCCACACCCACAGAACCGATAGTAAAAAAATTTAGAACCCACCCCTGGTTGGGGGTCACCACAACATGAGGAACTGTATTAATGGGTTGCGGCATTAGGAAGGTTGAGAACCACTGATCTAGAATCTTATAGTGGGCTTCTGATCCCTTCCTTCTTTCTTACTATCTTCAGATATATGAAAAAATATTGTCAATCTGGAGAAGAGCTCAAGCAACACAGTGCTTCCCAGAAAGAGGCCCAGATTAGTTGATAGGGGAGCAGGGAAGAGGTGCAGGTAGTCCAAAATCTAAAATCTGTTAGGAGGTTAGAAGGTGTCTTGTCCCAGTCCACATAGTCCACACACATCAAGGAATTGAATACTTTATTGAGGCACTGCAAGCTTCTAATATTATTCCCCAGGTCTCACTCAACACAAAGTTCCACTGAGTCCAAGTTTGCACAGCCAAGGCATGAAGTCACAAGCAACACAAAATCCAAGAGCAAGGCGCAAGTCCACAAATCCACATACAAAGTTCAAAGTCCAGGCAGGAGTTTAAAGTTCAAGCACAGTTACCAAAATCAAGATCCACTACCACTTGTATACTTACACTGTTTGATTCCCTTTTTATGGGATAGGTTCTATTAGCTTTGGTGTTATTCTGTGATATTTTCAAGCTTGATCATAAAATACCATTGCATAAATGGGATTTGTATCTTGGTTAATCTTAGTTTGGTCATTTTATTTAAAAAGTTGATTCCCTAAAATATATATCCCTAAATTTCTTTGGATAAAATCTCATATTAAGTCTGTAATAGGTGTGCTCAGGTCTCTAGTGCAAAAGATAAATTGGATAGAAGCACTGTAAACAATTAAAATCTAAATTATAATCATATTAAATTAATTACCGTATTTTTCGGATTATAAAATGCACTGGAGTATAACACGCACCTTAGTTTTTGGGGAGGATATAAGAAAAAAGCTGATTGGGGATGGATCGGCCTCCGGGGAATCAGCTGTTCCCAGAGATGAACTTTAGCAACAGGTTCATTGGTTGTGAGCTCTGCACCTTGCTTTTTTTTTCAGCGTCTCAAACGGAGGTTTCAGAGGCTTTTTTTTCAGCGTCTCAAATGGAGGTTTCAGAGGCTTTTTTCAGTCTCTGAAACCTCTGTTTCAGAGGCTGGGCGGAGCTACATTCGATGTATAAGACACACCCAAATTTTCACCCTCTTTTAGGGGGGAAAAAGGTATGTCTTATACTTCAAAAAATACAGTAGTATTCAATAAGTTATTCTAATTCTGGGACATTTTGTTTATTCAGAGACCTAGGACACAGATTGTGCAACTTCCCAACTTTTATGGGGTAGTTTCTATTAGCTTTGCTGTATCTGGTCCTTACATCCTGTCATCTGGAAACACAACCCCCCCCCCCAATAAAAACAAGATTTGGGAGAAATCTAGAAAACAGAATTTTTACATTGTGGCATAAAATGTGTCAAATCTACATAGCATTTATATCATTTTTAGGAAAAAAAAAAGTGAAAATAGAGAAGCCAAGAGAACTTTTGGTATTTAGAATGCAGATTACTTAATAGTAAATATAATATCAATGAGACTAAGCATTTTAATTAAACTTCTGTTATTGTGTTTATTGAATAGTTTATTGCTGCTTTAGGTTGTAAATTGTCCTGAGTGCTCTAGCAGCGTGACAATAGAGAAATATAGTAGTAAAATAGATTTCTACCTTAGTATATATTTTACCATATGTTTCCTGCAGCCATTTATGAAAATAGTTTAATTTGTCAAAATTTGTTAATTAAGAGAATAGGACTCGTGCAATTAAAATGTCTTTATATTGTGAACCATTGTTGGATATTTTTTCTGGCTCACACACTATCTTGTATTGTAGCCAGTACCTTCATGGGTATCATGAAATTTTTAAATTTAAAAATCCAGTATGTGCTCCGAGTCAAATTTCAACAACAATAATAATACACACTAACTGTATCTACCATGAATGTTACAGAGTAGTTCAAACAAATTGCAAATCTTATAGGCTGCCAAAAATAAATTAAAAGTATGCATTAATGTGTACTTTTAATCACTAATGTGATCTTGTTCTTGAATTTTGCATTCTACACAATAGTTTAGTGTAGCTAAAATTGATATTTTAATGATCCTCCAGATTTAACTTAAAAGTTTAAAAAAGCACTAATTAAGGTGAAAGCAGTCCATCTTCAAACTATATGCAAAAGAAAATAATTATCAATATGATGTATGCTGCAATTGTATAACTGGAAATGCCAATTTAAATTAGTTTTGCATAAAAACAGTAAATAGTAAGCCCAGAACCAATATTTCAAAGTTCATATCCTTCAGATAAAATGTGTCCCAACATTGCAAAACAGGCTGGAACAAGTGAGAGCTATTTTATAATAAGTTGCACTTACTTCCAAAATAATTTAATTCACAATGAGACCTGTTGCAATAAATTAGTAAATGAGGAAGTTTGAGAGACATTAAAATGTTGTTATCTGGTTTTACAATGAAAATTTAGCAGCAGAAATAAATCCTATGAATAGAATAAAAGCATACAGAAATGAAATTTAAATATAAAATATTAGCTCAGAGGTCTGAACCAAGAATATATGATTTCCAGAACTATAATTTTTCCTTAGGTTATGATTAATTATCTTTTTTAAAAAAGCCTCACACTTTTAGCAAAGAATTAGCAAGTATAATTCTTTTTTCTCTTTTTCTCTTTTGCAGAGGAAGAATTGGCCTCTTCTTTTGAGCATTGGTTTATTGATCTTCTGGGGAGCTTTATTGCTGGGTCTTCGCTTCTACTGGATGGGGAACAAACCTCCCAGCTTTTCCAACTCTGACAATCCAGCAGCTGACTCAGATAGTTTTTTAACAAGAGCTCTGACCTTTTTTTATTTGCCAACCAAAAACCTTTGGCTGCTGTTGTGCCCAGACACTCTTAGCTTTGATTGGTCCATGGATGCTGTGCCTCTTCTCAAAACAATCAGTGACTGGAGGAACCTACACACAGTGGCCTTTTATGCTGGACTCCTCCTCCTTACTTATACCAGTTTGAGAAATTCCAGCATAGAAAGAGAAGGCAGTGGGAAAAGTATAACAAATGGCAGACTTAATGGCAATGGTCACAACTACCTATCTGAACTGGAATATAAAGAGTTGAGGTCCAGTTTTGCGTCTAAAGAAGAAAATGGCATTAACAAAGGCTTACCACAAAAACCACACATCCCCTCAACAGAGAATATTGTGGTTCTGTCACTGTCTTTATTAATTGTTCCTTTTATTCCTGCCACAAACTTATTTTTTTATGTAGGCTTTGTGATAGCAGAGCGTGTGTTGTATATACCTAGTATGGGCTTCTGCCTCTTGATCACTGTGGGCACAAGAGCCCTTTATGTCAAAGTCCAAAAGCGCTTTCTGAAGAACTTGATTTTTTTGGCTACTGCTGCATTAATTTTTTTTTTCGGACTGAAGACATTTGTCAGGAACGGGGACTGGCAGAATGAAGAGATGCTGTATAAATCAGGGATTAAAGTAAATCCAGCTAAAGGTAACTTTTTCCATTGGGATTGTTTGCAACAAATGATCAGTTTGTTATGTATTTTTTTAATCTAGCTATACCAGCTGTTTTTGGAAAATGCATAGATCCTATATTTACAATCATAAATAATTAAAGTGCAGAAATAAACAATGTACTATACTGATATACAATTTCATATTAATTGCTTATTCCGAGGATTCATTGAATGTAGGGTTGAAAACAAGTTGAAAACGACAGAAATGTTTTGCTAATATGTTTTATGTTTCTGAATCTTTGTATTACAATATCTCATGTAAGAATACTTCTTACAGAAACATCTTTGGGGGGGGGAAACAGGTAGTTTGAATTATTTATTGGTTAGGTTCTTAAATTTATGAATCACTTTCTATTCATGATCTGATTTTTCTTCCGTTCTTGGAATAGCAGTGGAATTTCCCCAGTGGAAAAATGTTTCTTCTTTTTGTCTTAATATAGATGAAGAAACAACATTCAAATATTCCTCAGTTTCCATGAAGAAATGTTTATATGTTTTGTATTGTTAAAATATTTGGGAAAATAGGGCGTAATATTTAAACTAGACGGAAAATAGAAAATATGTGAAATACACATTTGCCTTTGTTTCATTGGTATGAGGCAAGAGCCTCTATGACTGGAAAACCAAGAGTAGATTCTGATAAATTTAATTAGCACATTGCTAAATTTTCAGAAGTTTAATGACTTTCAGCAAACAAAAACTTAAACAGAAAAATGGCTGTTCAAGTTATTGTTTCTATTGAAAATAATCTACAGTAAGAAAATGCATAAAATCCCTCGTCATCAAAAGATCTTATGCTGTAAATTGGATAGTCTATTAATGTACTATCCGTTTAAAAAAAAAACATTTATGAGACTAAAGATTTTTTGCTACAGTGCTACAGCAAAATGATTTATTATATTTGTTAAGGCTTCTAGGATTTCTTGAACTGTACATAGATGCAAAAAGGGAAACAGAGGAAGAGAACAGTGCCCATTTTCATGAAACATCTTTATCCAATTTGTATGTTTTCCTGTTTTCTATAATATGCCATGGCACAGCTCATTCCATTCAATCAGTTTTTCCAACCATGGGAGTTTGGAATCTCAGGACGAAAGGCCTAGGAAGTGATATAGGGTTTCCTGCCTGGGCAGGGCGTCGGGCTAGAAGACCTCCAAGGTCCCTTCCAACTCTGTTATTCTATTCTATTCTATTCTATTCTATTCTATTCTATTCTATTCTATTCCATTCCATTCCATTCCATTCCATTCCATTCCATTCCATTCCATTCTATCCTTGAATTACAGAAGATTTTCTTTTTTCTTTAATCCTTTTTAATTTTTATAAAAATATACATTAATATAAATACATGAACAGTGGGGCATCTGGGTATCATTCATTTGAATACAAGTAGTAATGATAGTATTATTATTTGTTATTTAAATCATACTTTTGTAATTATAATAATATGCTTATGCATCTGTATTAAAATATATGCCTTCATTATTTAATTGTTCAACATTTTAGTCCCCATTCTAATAAAATAACAGTATCATTAGAACGTACATAGTATCACCATATTCAACCTCTAATCTCTGTATCTAGCTACTACTTTTAATATATTGTTTTAAAAATAATAATATTTTTATAATATTAATAATATTAATATTATAATAATATTTCCCCTATTTCTTGTGTCTGCCTCTATTCTAGCTCCTATCTTGTGTTACACAACATTTCCTCTGTCCATCATCTCTTTTAATATTTTAATATTTCAATTCGTATTCGTTGTTTGACTTGCCTCCCAAATTCCTCCCTTGGGTCTTCTTCTCTATCTATGTCTTTCCTGTTTAAGTATTTCTTCCATCTCTACTATCTTTTGTTGCCAAACCTCCAGAGGATCTGCTCAACTCTCCATTTTCTTTTCAAAGAATCTTTCTGTTTATCTAGTATCATTTTTTGGTCTTTTAGCATGTATTTTCTCTGAATTGCTTCATAAGCTTTTATTACCTTCTCCCTCTTATCTTCTTGTTTTGTTTGTTTATTTAGTCCTGTCTTTTCCCCTGGTCTCTCCATTTTCTTTAGGGTAGGTTTCAAGTAGAAAAAAAATCACTTCACCCAGTTCCAGTCACTGTTCACACACTGTTCCAGCACAGTCTTTGTTTCTTTGGCTGCCTCAGCTTCACGGCAGCCATAATGGCTGCCTCTCCTCTTTGTCGTCAGATGAGAGGGAATTAGCACTGGATCAAGAAGGAGAGCCGCTGCTCTCCGTGACCTGCAGGGCACCCCTCCACTCTTCGTCACCCCTACATGGTGACTTTAACCCCTTATGGGGAATCCTAACGAAAGGATTCGGCGTGAGTTTGTGGAGTTCACGTGAGTTCAGGTTTTCACGTCCGATAGCACCGCAACGTCAACCGGAAGTCTCAGAAGATTTTCTTGAATGAATGAATGAATGAATGAATTCTTCCAAGGCTCAGGAATGAAGACAGAGTTGAATGGCATTGTCTGTTTTCCATTTAATGTTTTGAATTCTAATATCTATTGTTACTATTCTCTTTGTATTTTAACTACTTTGTTCTGTGATTTATGTTTTGATACCTGCATTCTTTTTTCCCTAACATATTGCTAGTCGAAGGGTAGACAAATATTTGAACTTTTGCTTTCCATTCAGTGAAGCCAGAAGCAAAGGATTATATAAAATATCAACCAAAATATCTGGAAGACACTAGATAACCTTCACCTAGTTTGGATATGTCCAACTCCCCCTCCCCATATTTTAATAAATTTTTATTTTTCCAAAAATAAAATGCAAATACAGAATAAAGAAAATAATAAAACAAGTATTGCAAACAATACACAAAAAAGGGAAAAGGAAAAAAAAGAAAAAAAAGGTGTATGTAACAAATATAAAATTAACAATAAACATATGGCCTCCACCTAGTTGAATGCTGATACCTGTATCTCACACAAATCTAATAGGTTTGTATTGTTGGTCTACAAATGGCTATACATTTTTCATCTATACTTGCTAAATTACTAATATACATCACATTCTTTTAACATATATCTCAAATATACAAATCTATTATTTATCAGTCAAATTGACCCAATACCTGTTCACTGTAAAACAGTATTAACTGTTACCCGCCCCCCAAAATAAATACACACCTTTTAACAAGTTGCTCTTTAACTCTGCCAATTTCACCAACACATATTGTCCCAGTTATATATTCTTATCAGAGAGATAGACGAAGCTCACCCAGAAGAGCTCTCCATTAATAGATTTTTTAAAAGATCAAATAATCTGAAGAACAAGTTTTAATCAAATAGATTAGTTGTGCATGGGTATACCAATAGCTGACAAAAAATTAATAATAGTACCATGTAAAATAGCGATAAGGCTCTTTTAACCTAATTTAATAGTTAGATGTTTATTCATGAGTTTAGTGATCTGATACTAATAAACTATTCAAAAGCATGATTCACAGGTTTGCTTATTGTCACTGAAAGTCACCACAGATATACAGAGAAGAATATACTAAAACAACTACTGTCTTAAAGAGTTATGAACAAAGACTTACTCTGATCACTATTTGGGGACAAATGATTGAAGATTCAGATGCCTATATATCAGTTGACATGATATATTGTTTTGCTTTCAAAAGAGTGACATATATTATTATGTCACTCTTTATTATTATTTACTTTATTAAATTTATTTGCCGCCTGTTTTGCCACAAGGCAACTCTATAAGGTTTGGGTAGAGTTAGTTACCTTTTGAATTTGGGAAAATAGTAAATATGACTGCTTAAGGAAGTTCAGTGTCTCTGAAAGACTGAAGCTGTCAAGTATTTATTGCCAGCTTGTTGAAAGCCTAGTAAAATGACAGTCATATTACTAAAATGATTTTCAGACTTATGAGGCAATTGACATGTATATAGAAATTACAATTGGTCATAATTCTTTGAATAGACTGACCACTGACAGGTTGATCAAACCATAAGTATGCTATCATTCATGAAAGCACTTTATGAACATTGGAAGATTTATTGGTTGTCAGAATTGAGTTAATATGAACATTTGTGATGTTGCTGATATGTATTTATATATGTGTGCATATGTATTATTAAATTTAGGAGTTGAACATGTGGAAACTATTAATTTTTAGTGCATTTGTTTTGGCAAGTTGATTTTGTAATAGCAAAATAAATCTACATACTTATAACATATATTTAATAGTACATGAAATTCCAGATAGAGATAAAAATTAACTGTATATTAAAATATTTAAAACAATTTTTATATTTATTATCTGCACATGGTAGGGTATGATAGGCTTTATTGAATAAGTATCTGAAAATGAGATATGTACATCTAAGGTTTTAATTCCCCCTCCCATACTTCTTATAAGCTACACTAATATCATAAATTTATATAAGCAAATCATATTTAAATTCAGTTATAGTATATTGTTGCTTTGAGCTAAACATAAAAACAATATTTAAAATTTTATGGTTGGGTTGTAACTGAGTCGCAAAGGATCAAGTAACCTTATCCAATTAATAGGGTGTGAAGCAGCAAAATAATGTGATGTCACAATTTACTAGCAGTCAGTAATCAGGAAATTGGATAGCAAAGTGTGGGCAATGGCTATGACTAATAATAATGAAGCTAAAATGTATTTCTTATCTATTTTATTTTAATGATCCCATTTTAAAGATTGATACATTTTGAGAAACTAAAAAGAATATTAAAGAAATTTAAAAAGCATAGAAATATCCACACAGAACAACCAGTCTTTGAAACAGTGTAACTGTGTTTATCAAATAATATCAGCAAAATAGCAGAGAAAGAAATTCACCATGTAGCAGACAACATTTAATTTGATAGAATTATCATATGCAAAACCAGTTGACATTGCTGTCAGTGAAGCAGTATGCAATGTGCAGAGTAACCGGATGTCTCAAACCCACACCAAGGACAAATATTCTTGAAGGCATGCAAGAGCAAAACTGAATTAGAAGATGGAGGAGAGAATTTATGGAATAAGCTATAATCTCAGAAGAGAACATGGCTGAGGGATCTGATCTCTTCTATGTTATTTGGAGGACATTGAATAGGATGAAGGTGGGAGTGCCTAATATATGACCAATATGCTCAAGTGGGGTTTGCTGGCATTTAACAACATGTTGTGTGAATGTGGAGAGACACAGAATTAGAAAGTAATTAATGTTTATGTCCATGTAGTTCTCAGAATTGCTGACTTCTGAATATTAAGTTTTCAATTTAAAAGACACTTTAGAAGACTAAATTAAATCAACTAGTTAATTCAAATAAAATTAACAATTATTTAAGATTGTAACTTAATTAGAATCCATTATATTTATTTCCTAACTGGTTACAATTTTATTGGTTTAATATTCCTCATTCTCTCCTAAGAATTTTATTTCTGTTCTATAAACAATAAGCAAATGGTTGCAAGAATGACTAAATGCAAATTATTATTAATTTTATTCATGTTATACTGTGCTCTTCAATAATTCTCATTTTAAAAAATCTTGGATTTAATTCGGTGCAGTCATGTGACTATAAATTGTAATACTATATTCCAATAAAGATGGCTGCTCTAAAGTGCTTCACAGAAAATAGGTAAAGATGGTGGTCTGTTCATTAATGAAGAGATTGTGGACTTTGGTCTTTTTCAATGGCCTTCATGGGTATATATTTTGTCACATTTTTGTCAGCTCTAAATTATGTCTCTTCCTGTCTTCCAAATGAGATTAAACTATTACTGATATACACATGCCCAAACTAGCCAAATTATGACTTCTTGAATACTCATAAATCTTGTAAAGTAGATTAATTGATGTCTAGTTTGATTTTTTAAATTATTTCTATATAAAGGAGAAGTATTCTTCATTCATAAACTGTACTGACTGTAATTCAAATATAGTTAGTACACATTTTCTATCTAGTGTGTGAAAAACGCAAGTTTTGATGTGTGATGCTTCAGATCAAAATATGTAATTTTATCATTTTAAATTGTTTTTGGTATATGTTTATAATATTAAATAGATGTACTTATGCATTTATATCTATTGCCATATCTTTAATATTTGCCACTGCTGCTTTATGACTTAGGTAACTGAGGCCCCTTTGAGTGCAGAAAGAGACTTTGGTCTTTAGCTCTCCCTGTTTGGATGAAAGATGAATTTCTTGCAGATATAAAATAGTTAGAGCTGTAGGACAACTTTATCAGAGCCACAAAACTGATAGCAAGTGCTTGGCTGACTAAACTGTGTACACTAACCTTGTAAATACATCTGCAAATCCACCCATTGCATGGATCCAGTGTGACTGGTCAGACAAGCCCGAAGCCTTCCTCATGCCCAGGGGGTGGCTCCTCCTCTTTCTCCTCCTCCTCTTGAATAGCAAAGATGTATCTTCTATCTTTCAGATTCATTTTGCTATTGAGAACTTCTCAGCACCACAACTAATCAAATGTTTCTTTTGGTCATGTATAACTAGTTGTAAGATACTTGAATGCTATTCAAATTAAGTAATGTTGCTAGTGAAACTTAATTTTAGCATTATATAGCCCTCAGTGCAGGAGTCTTGGGAGATCATTCACTTAATATGTACAGAGCAGGAAAAAATCTGTGTCTTCAGTACGTTTTCCCTATGAATACTTGCTACTCATCTTCTTCATAGATATTGTTAATATTTATATCTCTTAGGGCAGGGGTGTCAAAATCAAGGCCTGGGGGCCAGAACTGGCCCTGCTGGTCCGCCCTGGAAACACCAAAAGACCAGCCCGCAGTGCCTCTGCCAGAAAAAATGGAGTTCGCGAAGGCCGCGGGCTTGGAAGTTCACTTTCTCTGGCAGAGCGCTCGGGCCGCCACAGGCGCCCTCAACACGAGTGATGCTGAGCTGGCCATGCCCACCCTAGCCAGCCCACTCCAGTCCCCCAAGGTCAAATGTAACCTTGATGCGGCCCTCAATGAAATTGAGTTTGACACCTCTGTCTTAGGGTACGAAATTGAATCAGAGGGATTTAATTAGATTTAATATTAGACTTATCCAAAGATAGATGGAAATCAAGGCCATTGCCAAAAGAGACATAAAATGTGATTTTTTTATTTCACTGTGAATAAGACTTGCATTTGATAGATGTCAGTAGAATTATTTTGTAATGTCTTATTAATTTTTTTTATTAATTAAAAATTCCTGGATTCTTGTGTGTCTCCTTGATTAGTTCGGTCCAGCTTGCTGGGAGGAAACCTGGCATGTTTTTTGATTCGTATGAAAGTTATATTTCATTGAAGAAATTATGCATTAACAATAGTTTTTAGGAACTGATTGTACGTACGTGGCAAATAACTTGCATATACCATTGAAAAATACCTCTGGAGGGGGGGAAATGGGGAGGGGATTTCTTATTTTGATCATGTTAAGGTTTTTCTATTGTTTCTCTTTTTCCTTCCCATTATGATTAGGACCTTTATTTACATGGATTTTAGGAAGAGCCCAATAACTCTGTGTACTTTATATTAGTACATAAAAATAGAACAATAAAATAACAGATGTATGTCCAGAAAAAATCCCCATAGAGTATAAAACAAAAATATTTTTGGTTCTATTGCTAAAATCAGTGGTATCATTTGCAAAATCTGCAAGTGTGGTAGACTCACACAAGGCATTTTTTCCAATCCATAAAATAGCAACCAAGCAACAGACTATACATAGGGTATACATAGTTAATTGCATGTTTTATTAGCAATTTAACTTTGCCTGTAGAAATTAGCTTCTCCCACTAGAAGAGACTGTGAAGTACAGGTAGGCCTTGACTTTCAACATTTGTTTAGTGACTATTTGAAGTTACACTGAAAAAAATTGAATTATGATTGTTTTTCACACTTAGACTGTTGCAGCATCCCGATGGTCACATGATCACAATTCAGGGGCTTGACAACAGACATGTGTTTATGACAGTTGCACTTCCGGGGTCATATGATCCCAATTTGCAACCTTCCCAGCTGGCTTCTGACAAGAAAAGTCAATGGAGGAAGCCAGATTTCCTTAACAACTGTGTTATTCACTGCAATGATTCACTTCCTTGTGGCAAGAAAGGTCACAAAATGAGCCATAATTCACTTAACGTCTCGTTTAGTAGTGGAAATTTCAAGCTCCATTGTGGTTGTTATCTGAGGACTAACTATAATCTGTAACCATTCATGTGTAATAGCCAATTCAAATGGATCTGTAATAACCATTAACTACAAATAAAAAAAGCAATGTACCTAAGCCATGAAACTGGCCCTAATAATATGTATAACACAGCATTTCTTGTTCTTACATACTCAATATCCCAAAGGTGCTTTTTCAGGAGGCAACTGGACTTTCTTGTTTTTTCTTTTGAAGACGTTTCATTTCTCATCCAAGAAGCTTCTCCAGCTCTGAAGTTGCCTCCTGAAAAAGCATCTTTGGGACAACCATGACCTGGATGACTGAGAATCTCTACAGACTTTCAGCGTTCAATATTTCATGTATGAAAAAGTTGCTCCTGTATTTCAGTGTATTTCAGAAATTGCAAGGAATTTGTAATGCTGAAAATATAGAGAGAGTATATGGGTTTTGGAATTAAAACAGTGGCTGTTGTTCAACTAGTTATTACTAGTATATGAAATAGTATAGTCTAATGAAAATGGGGTGGGCTGAGGTTTTAAAACTGAATCAGAGTAAAGGTTGTGTAGATTTTCTTGTCATAAGAACTCCTAATTCAGACATTATATTGTGTATAATTGGACTGCAACTCCTTCTCAATACTATTTTCTTCTCTTGGCAGCATGGGGTAACCTTGGAAATGTTTTGAAGAGCCAGAGTAAGATTTCAGAAGCTGAAAGCGCCTATAGAAATGCCTTGTATTACCGCAGCAACATGGCTGATATGCTTTATAATTTGTAAGTATATATGGCTTCTTCTTTTTTATGTGTTTGTCTGTGAATAAAATCATTTATTAAGATTCAGTAAATGCAGATTATATTTAGCTATTTCTTTTCCTCTGTCTTTCATCTCTCCTCTTGCCTTTGGTTAGCTTTCATTAATCTTATTTCAAACTCCAACATAGACAGATTTCCTTCTGTTCTTCACATTTATCAGATCATCAGATATTTTGACTCTGCTTTGCAGTGAAATAGCAGCTAATTTCCCAGAAGATCTAGTGGGATGCTGTATTTATGAATAGCCCTTTAGATTCATCCCAGCATCTTGCGGCAGATCCAGCTGACTAGAACTTACCAGCAGGCCCCAAGGCACTGCAGCAGTTGAGATTGCTATTTTATCAACTTCAATTGGTAAATCAATGGCAGCTTTTCTTTGTAACAAGGATTTGGAAACCAATTTCCACACTGTGGCAGTCTATTTAGACAGCTGCATTGTGGTGTACTTAGAAGCTTGCTTGAAAGTTACAGTTAATGCTGATTTTCTGTATACAAAATGCAGAAATTCTTATGGCTCACACGAAAATGATTGCAAGCACAACTTAAAACATGGCTTGAGAAATATTTCTTCTCTCACAATAATATCTACTCTTGGTTACTCTTTGTAACATGCTTGGCAATTGATTAGGATCAGCCAGAATGATTACTTGCCCACCTCATTTTGTCCACCCAGAAAAAGCTATTGTAGAGAGAAACAGATGAAATATTCAATGGCATGTTTGAACAATTGTTTTTTGCTAAAAAGCTCACCAGAATCTCAACCGAAACTCCAAAGATGGAGAAAGTTGTAAGAAGGTAACCTTAGCAAACATTTTCTCTGTTATTTTGATTTTTTCCCCCTTGAATTTCAGAAGCGTTGAGGCTCTGGGGAAGTAGATAGGATGTTCTGGAGTATAATGCTTTCTGTGGGGTTGAATTAGGGCCTGTTTGGTTGCTTTGGACTGCTAGAAATATGAGGAAAAATATATCTGGGAGATATTTAACCATTTCTTTAGAGAAGAGGTGCAACATTCTGTCTTTAAGACAAAGTGGTGCAGCCCTTCCTGAAAAGGATTTCCCTGGACCTAAACACGTTGGCCTGCTTCCAGCCTTTTTGGGGGGAAGGTTGTGGAAAGAATGGGAATTAGTTGTACAGTATCATAGATAAAATGGATTATTTGAAACCCTGTTTGTCAAGATTCAAGGATGTAAGCCATATTAAACACTTTGGTAAATCATCTGGGAGATGTACAGCTTTCCTGTATATTTTAGATCTCTTGGCAGCATTTGATACAATTGATCATTATATCCTTTTGGACTGTCTGCAAGAAATAAGCATGGATCTATTGATCTGTAATTGGTTTAATCCTTCCTGAGTGAGTAAATTTAGTTGATGATAGTGATAGAAGATGAGTTGACCTTGTGTTATTCCTTGTAAGATATCATAGGATTCAACTATCTGGCTGCTGCTTTACAACATCTAAAGGAGACTGTTGGAAGTCACTTCTAACATCTCAGTGACTAATGCTTTGCAGGTGGAGGCCTTGGCTAAGGAAATTCTTTGCTACCTTTGTCTTGTATGCCTGTTGCAGCCTTATCTGGAGCAGGAGTTGACAATTCACATCTGCTTCATCATAAGGTTGAAAACTACTATAATTTAATTTACATGGGATGAATGTAACTTTGACTACTCAGGACCTGAAATTTTACAAAATGTAATGGCTTGCTGTTGATTTATACAGGAACATAATCCATGTTTCAGATATTTCTTTAGTTTTCAGTAGATGTTGGATACAATTCAAAATGCTGTAGAGCAAGGATCCCCAAACCCTGGGCCACAGCCCACTAATGGGCTTTGAGCCCTTCAGAACTGGGCCACAGAAATAGCAAGTGGGAAAGCATGCACGTGCATCCCCACTTGCGCAAGCAGCAGGCAAGCATGTTCCATTTGTATAAGCGGCGGGCATGTGTGTCCACCGCTTTCACTAATAGAACTGTGCATACTTGCCCATCGTGCATGTGGAACCATCTCCTCCCCCCAGCTGTTCCGCAAAGTCGGAAAGTTTGGGGAACTTTGCTGTAGAGCATTATCAGAGTTGTACAGTATTCGAACTGTGATAATTGGTGTATGTTTTTTCAGATGCTTCTGCATTTTGAAAAGATAATACTTTATATAATATTTACTTGCTATTGAATAAAGATCCTAACTTTTTGTTTATTCCAGCAATCAAGGCATTTGCAGTAGAACAGATGAAAAAGAAACTATTAGAATGTATGTGAAAAAGCAAACCATAATTTTAGGGACTCTTGTAAATAAAACCCAGTTCATCTTTAGCTACAGTTAAATGGCTTAAGAAAGATAGAGGAATAGATAGCTTCTCTTCCTTTCTATTTGTTCAAGTCTTGGTTCCTTCTGTCCTCTACTTTCATTGGTAATCCTGCTTACATAATATTACAGACATATAGACTAAATGGATTTTGAACAACTAAGTTGACACAATGGTTAGAATGCAGTATTGCAGGCAAACTCTGTCCACAGCCTGGAGTTCGATCCTGATGGGGCTCCGGCCTTTCATCTTTCCGAGATCACTAAAAAGAGGACCAAGCCGCCCTGAGTCTTTGGAGAGGGGCGGCATACAAATTGAATTAATAATTAATTAATTAATAAATAAGATTGTTGAGGGCAGTATGCTGGCTCTGTAAATTGCTTAAAGAGGATTATAAAACATGGTGGAGTGGTATATAAATCTAAGTGCTATTGCTATTTCCTTCTAGCCTTCGATTGAATGTTTTAGGGACTGAACCATATAATTTAAATTTTCATTTCAATTTAAATGTCATTTGTGTAAATACCCTCATTCCTGTTCTCTCTACATTTAGAGGAGTAGTAACTGGGAAGAGGTTGTTTCTTGAATCATTGTTAAGGTTCAGAAGGAGGACTATTGTTAAATATTAAAACCCAGGATCAGCAGAGGAATACATGTTTATTGGGAGTCTTCCTAAAATTGATTTATATTTTCTCTTATCTTCCACAATAATTTTCGCTTGTAAGGAGAAAAAATAAAGATATCAAATATCTGTAGCAAAGGCATTCAGAATATCAATAGTTAAACTCAAGGGTCTGGAAGCAGTTCAAAAGGTCAAGTTAAAAAGATATAAATTTTTACCCCTTTCAATCTCAGATCTGCAAATTATGAACTTTAGGCAATATAGATTCATCTTTATTTCTCTAGATATAGATGGACATTCAAAATGCAGTTGCAGTTAATAATTAGGTTTTTTGGTTTTTGAATTACATCAATGCGAATCTTCTGTCTAGTACCAATTTTGGATGGCTTCATCCAATATAAATTCCCCTTCCCGAGCCTTTTTTGGAATATACATGCATAAGAATTTTAATTAATTGAATTGTTTGTACAATAAATTAAATGCAACTTCTGTCACTATTGCAGTATGTTGATTTGAACACTGTGGAATTATTGAGTAACTGATCATTTTTTATCATTTCCTATGTTAAAGAAGAAATATAATTTTCTTTTGCCACCCTCTAGAAATAATAGCAACATCTACTGACATCTCAATTTGGAGCAGCAACAATTTCAGCTTCAGTACACCTAAATTATTAAAATGGATTACCAAATTTTAGGAGATTTAAATAACACAATTAGTTTTTATAATGCTTGTTGCCAAAAAAACTCAATTCAATATGTAAATTGTGAAGACTGAATGGAATATAGAACTGGAGATTCCCATTTTTTAAAAAAAAGAACAGGAGACTGCTTTTATGTCTGCATCAAAAATTTAAATAGATCTTATACTATAGCTTGTTCAATAAAAATAATAGTTATAATCCATCACATTTGTTTAGAAAAGAAATGAATAATTCATAGTGCTGTTGGAGATTCAGAAAGTGAGAACTGCATATTTTTACAATGCCATATAAATATGATGGTCTAGGAAGTCATGCATATATTAATTGGGATAGGTTTTAATATTTTTCTAGCCAACTTCTTTTGATTTACATACCAACTACTTGGGATTCCACAGCTGGACAGCAGAAATTCTCTGTTTCATTCTTACTGCAAAGAGACTTATTATTCCACACCGGAAAGATAAATTTACAATTCCAATTACTTAATGGACTGAAGACCTGATGTTGCTTGAAATCTCTGAACAAGGTGCTTATTGATGTAGACTTTGTAGAGATAATTATTATCAGACATGGTCATCGCTTTATTAAAATGTTTGTGTAAAACTCTACATGCACCCCCCCCCCGAAAGAAGAATATTTTATCTATTAATTATTTTGTCCAGGGATTTTAAGCTGTTGTATGAAGTTTATGTTTAGACATAGAGACTGCTGTATTCATACCTAAATAATCTTTGTTTTAAATTTCACACAACCTGAAAACTGTGACAGTCAGATTTACAACAACCAAGTTGTAATTCAGTGTTTTATGGTAGTCATATAGCAAACATCAGTTTATGATTCGAATTAAATCAGAACCTATATTTAATTAAATTGGCTGTATTGTAGGTCATAAAAATTGTCTTTCTGCAGATACAAAAGGGTTGTGCTAATAAGACAAGATATAATCATCCAAGCATGACTTGTGTAGCAGAGATTATATTGCAGCTATCCCAACAGCAATTTTGGGCACTATAGTTGCATTCATATACATGAGAGAAGATAATTAAAGAGATTGACAGTATCTTCTTGCAAACTAATTAGCAGCAGCATCAAAGTTAGCTACAATGAGTATCTGTTGTGCATATAGGAATGCTTAGATTGAGCATATAAATACATGTTTATATCCTTAAGAACACATACATATACATATGTATGTGTACCCATGGAAGAAAGGGCGGGAGGGAGGGAGGGAGGGAGGGAGGGAGGGAGGGAGGGAGGGAGGAAGGAAGGAAGGAAGGAAGGAAGGAAGGAAATACACACACAGAAGTTGTCTACTGGTTTTGCTTTCAAA